ATTTTTGCACGCGATTGTCTTAGCAGTGGCCTCATTGTGTTCACAAAGTTAATTAAATTTCTGCCAAAAATTTGAACTTAAAGCAGTCTCGGCCAAAATTTTCATTTTTCGCGCTTTAAGCCCAGTGATCTAGTTTTCGTGCGAAACTGGCACAAAAATGGACTCAAAAGACGCAGAATGGGGGACTGGGTACGAGTAAACAACCGTTTTGAACTGCTTATTGGATCCTCTATGTCTCCTGTTCTAACTTTTCAATCTGGACTCTGACATCCAATTTTTGCAACTTTATGCAACGCAATTTTCTACTACGGCAGAAACGGACAGATTGACGAACGCGAAACAGAAATTATCTGGTTTGTTTGGTGGAGGGTCTTTGAGTTTACCCAGAAGATTCCGCAGCCGGAGCAGAAAGACCTGTCTCCGTACCCACGCTGTTTTGAGGAACTGGTGCTTTTGGATGAACTTTTTTCATGCTGCCATCATTGCACATTTACTCTCAAAGAAATATATAAGAATAGATGACACGTTACGCACACGTTACACACACGTTACGCCACACGTTACGCTAGACTTTATATAGAATATTAATGAAAACCGACACGTTACACACGTTACGCCCCATTCTTTTAAAGGTAGAATAGGTCTACCTTTAATATATTAGGCGTAACGTGTGTAACGTGTCAGCTTGCTATAGATTCTTATATAGTGAAAGGCGTAACGTGTGGCGTAACGTGTGGCGTAACGTGTGCGTAACGTGTGCGTAACGTGTGCGTAACGTGTTGAAATTGAGTTCTATTTAGTTTGTATGCATGTATAAGGTCTTCAAAATAATTTTCACGTAGGCAATAAGTCGTTGAGTTTTCGCATAGTACTTTTATTGAATATGCATGGTGGAAGTGTGTACTTAATACATTCGTCACTATTAAGCATCTAAAACAGTTATTGAAGTCAAAAGGCACTGCCAATATAAACGGTATAAATAGGGAAAACATTGTAATATAGAAACACTTAATAAATTTAATACTTTAATCGTTCTCCTCGTTTCTCACTGATCATTGCAACACGCTTGTTCATCGATATAATAATTCAGTTCATAGTACTTTTTGACAAATTCATCGTCGTGCTTTTAACTCTTTCGGAAAATTTTTCAAACTTTTCTGACGTGATCTGCTTGTCAATGGCATCTTGTCCTAACTGTTTTGATACTCAAGCGGGACGCGTTCAATTTATGAACTATTTACGGTCATTTATGACGTCACGATGACGTCATTGTAACGTCACAATTTTACACACTGTAGGTAAAATCCTTAGGCACACAACAAACACATAGTAAAAGTAAGCAAAGGCTGTTATGCTTCTTATTTACAGCAAAGAGAAATAACCGTATTGAAATTATCATTACTCGAAACTACATAGACAATCGCGTGCAAAAATTGTTGAGACATGCAGTTTATTGGCCCTCTCCCTCCTGTAACAATGCTTCTTGCCCCCCCTCCCCCTTGTGCAATGTTGTTAAAACGATTTTGGGGTCAAGGCTTATCAAATAATATGTTGTCAACATTGTTAATGGGGGGAGGGGGGCACGCACGTGAAAAAGATCACCAAAATGTGAAGAGTCTCATTATTTTTGCACGCGATTGTAGGTTAGAACTCGGTTTGACCTCGGTTTAACCTAGGTTAACCGGGGTTTGAGTGAGGTCTGACCGAGGTTTAATCTAAGTTGAGTAAGGTTTGAACGCGTTTAAACAAAAACCGCAGTCGACCATTGCCGAGACAGCACCGCAATTTGTTTGTCCCGTAATCGGAAATTAACTATCGTTTCCCAATTTTCGCATCTAAGCGTCTTTCAATTTTAATTTTCCGAAGTTATCAGACGATTACAAATTTCGAGATAAATTTGCGTTTTAAAATGCCGACTCGAAATTGTCCGCGTATGCTCGAGAGAGAGAGTTATTAATTAACCTGTATATTTAGAAGGGGAAGCCATAAAAGTTTTGAGATTAGCGGCTACAACAACAGCACTTACCATGGAGCTTCAAAACTATAGAGCCGTCATAGTCCAAACCATTGAATTCGACTTCAACTGTAGATCCTTCATTTGCTTGTCACTGTAGCAAGAGTATACGATTTGTTATTCACGAGTGAAATACCTCGTGCAACAGTTCTTGTATATTCGAAATATTCCCGACGTTTATAATGAATGTATAGACATATTGTATTGACTGCTTTTGCTCGCTATTTTGCTGTTTTGAAAAGCGATGAGTGTAAGACGCGTGTCGTGCCTGTCGGCGGAAATTCCCAAACAGTCATTAACGCAACCCGTAGCAACGGCTTTGGAAAACAGAGTCGACAAAAATTTGAGAAAAAGAAATACTGCGATATTATTAAGAAAAGTGTTGCCGTTTTTATTTAGCATATATGCAGCAGTATATAATATTGGCCGCACATTACAATACTGTTTGTCAATGTCAATGAAAATTTATTTTGGTAGTAGCAACAGTAAAAGTTAATTTTTATTGATGAAAACTTTTCAATTACACATATAAAGTCATTATTATTTTGTGTTTCAACGTGCAACTCAATTACCTTTAAACTCGTTTTCGTTTTATAAAAACATATTTGGCTGAGACTGAGTGAAACATAAATTGGCTGAAAACGCGATGTCGATGACTCATCAGATACTTAGATTCTGGCACTGAAAATTACCATGTCTGATATTCAAACCCATTGTTACGGTTAGTCATTATTATGAATAAACGTTTATATTTGTGTAATGTTTCTCTATATGACTATAAATCGGGAGAGAACCTTTTGTCCAATGTTTTCCCATAAACTATTAGCGAGAGTATGTCAAACTTTTAAAATGAAAATTCGATGCTTTCGATATGGATACGTAACAACCAAGCTTGAGCATCGTGACCAAACGACGAGAGTGCAATTTGGCGGATATGAAACGATCATAATTCATAAACCTTAACTAATCATATGGTCAATGAGGCGCATTTACGAATTTGTAGCGATAATGTAGTGAGTAGCCTATATAACCTTGTTCGTCAACGAAATCGGTCCACTGCAGATCGCGTGTTTGGATCTTGGAAAAAGGTATGATATACTGTTAATAAGTCCATATAATGAGTTGTGCGGTTACATGGGACGGGTCCTACTAAACACCGACCGGGACCGACCGGGACCGACCGGGGCCGACCGGGACCGACCGGGGCCGACCGGGACCGACAATACTACACAATAAGAGTTTATACGTGATAATCTTTGATGAATTATGTGATTTTATTTAACTTAATTTAATATTTACATATATGCTAACATTTTTTAGTTCTGGAACATTTCACTCTCTTTCGCTGACCGGGTTTCCTAGCAGTTTTCTGAGTCTTAGGTATGGTCAACCTTCCGTCTGTTGACTTCACAGCTTTCTCCGCTTTGGGTGCGCCTTTCAGGAACTTTAAAAACCAAGTTTCTTTTTCAATGATTGATTTGGCAGCCCAGTTAGCTTGGCTAATTTTGAACTTTGCCATCCAGGGAGCGACTACGTAATTTCCCATCCCATAGAGAGCACGCCTAACATCTGCGTACTGGAGCTGGACGATCTTGTACAGCTTTTCCACTAAATCCGGAATTTTCTGGACTTTCCAATCGCACGTAAGTTTTAAAATGTGATTCATGCTTTCGCATGAGTTGTTCTTCCAGGTAATAGGGACAGATTTATTTTTCAGTAAACAAGTTATACAAGTTATACAAATACTTGGTTCGCTGAGGAGATGCTGTGTGTGCTTAATTCAAAGCTGTAATGAATTATGGTTGCTGTTGCACAAGCGAGTATGCCATGACGTCAGCAGCAAAGAATTCTTTTCACTGCCACCCACAGTCATTACACCCCTCACTGCACCGACAGGTTATTGTTATGCTTTTAACCTGAATTCCTTTCCGTTGATGTCATGACACACTAGATTAAAAACGAGAACGCCTGTTTTAAATGCCAGTTTTTTATAGTGCTTGAATAATATGTATACTTTGTGCACTAAATCTGTTTTAGTTCAAGGTATATACATGAAATATTTTTAAATTAAGAGTCGTAGATGGGTATTACCGTTATGATACTGAGTATTTTAATAAAATGCATGCTTTTTTTCGACATTTGAACTACTTATGTCATATAATTATATTCATCCTGTGGCAGCACGCGACTGAGTGTAATATATTTGAAATGTGGAAGTAACAATCGGCTTTCTAATATCAAAATCAATGCGCCTTTAGATTTACTACCGAATGGTCGTATGGCTCATTATCGTATATCTATAGAATGTTTTCCGCTATACACAGCAACTACAGTAATCTAATTGGTACTTGGTAGCACCAGATTACTATAGTATTTACTACCGCGTGTTAGGCCCGTTTCATACGCCGTACTTCACATGTGCCGAATACATTAAAGACAATAGATAATGAGCTGAAATGCCTCATTATCTATTGTTTTTAATGTATTCGGCACATGTGAAGTACGGCGTATGAAACGGGCCTTAGCGTGTATATGTTTTTCGCTACAAAACTAAAGATTAGTAGATTCGAAAATTTCAGATTAGTAAACTAGAATTCAAGTCACTGCATGCGCTTTACATTTATTACCGCGTAACGAATACAGTATCGAATGTATTATTTCTGCCTCTAATAGCAGTTTACCGATTGGCAAATCACGGAAGTCGACTGGTATTTATAAATATACTGTATGTTCCTAACAGGTTCTGTCCTTAAGATTAAAACTGATTTTCGTTTATTAAAAGCATATTTGACTGAGGCTTAGTGAAACATATAAATTGGCTGGAAAACGCGAAGTCGATGACTCATCAGATGCTCAAGCTCTGACACTTATACATTAGCATACCTGATATTCAAACCCATTGTTACTGTTAGTCATTATTATCGCGCATTTTTCATTTGGTCCAATGTTTTTCCACAAACGTTTTCTAATCATCCAGTGGCAGCGCGCGACTGAATGTAATATTATATTTGAACGGTGCAATTAATAATGCTTGCTAAAATCAATGCGCTTTTAGATCTACTACCCAGTAGTCTGTATGACTCAGTCATAGAATGTCTTCATGCAGCTACACGGCAACTACATGAGTAATCTAATTGCATGGTATTTGATAGTAGAACCAGATTACTATAGTCTTGTATAAAAGTATAGAATCAAAATCACTGACCTTTAATTACTCTTTAATAGATTTACTACCGCGTGTATATATATGCTTTTCGCTACAAAACTAGAGATTAGTAAAATCGGAATTATCAGATTGCTAGAATTAAAATCACTGCGCTTTAGCCCGATTTACTACCGCAGGCCTATATCGAATACAATATCGAATATAATTCCGCCATTTTTTCTACATTTAATAGCAGTTTAATTAATTACGATTGGCAAATCACGGAAATCCTATATCTATATCTACAGTATAATATATACGTAATATATAGAGGTAGGTAGTGACTTTCAATTATGTTTATTAATTTATTTCACGAGGCTTAATTATGTTCCGGTTTATTGAAAGGTTTAATTACAGGCTTATTTTAGTTTAAAAACAGCATTTTCGAAGAGTTTACAATCCGAGATCCGCTCACATCTTTTGAAGACCTATAGTTACAGTTTATAAACTCTTGTACCCGCCACTTCTGCACATGCAGTCAAGGTATTGTCAATTTGCGGTTTAAATCGGTCATACTCGACCTAACCTCAACCTAACCTCAACCTAACCTCAACCTAACCGCGACCGAACCTCAACCTCAACCTAACCTCAACCTAACCTCAACCTAACCTCAACCTAACCTCAACCTAACCGCGACCTAACCGCGACCTAACCGCGACCTAACCGCGACTTAACCGCGACCTAACCTCGACCTAACCGCGACCTAACTTCGACCTAACCGCGACCTAACTTCGACCTAACGCAACCTAACCGCAACCGCACTGTTAGGTTATTTCTGGACAGTACTG